CGCCAATGTAGCAGGGAAAAGGGGGATTACACGATCAATAACTGCAGTCATTTTCACTGGATGTGGCTGGATATGGATAACCCAAAAACTACAGCATGGGTGAGAAGGAAATGGATGAGAATTATAACCTTTGAGTAAAAAAGTAAATAAAGATGTATAACCACCCAAACAAACTGATAAAAAAAATATCAGAAAAAAAAATATATGTGAGTCATGAAATAGTTCATGAGCCACAATGTAACATTTTGTTTTTTTCCCCTCTTTCTAATAATCGTATTAATTATATTTCTATAAATATAATTCTAATATCAATTTAATAGATACTATGGATTCTACATTGTTCATAAACAGTCTACTATAACACCATAGTTTTGTGAAACTCATAAACAACTAGTGGAAAAAATACTGATGGCTGTCAGTGTTACCTCTCTGTTGTTGTTGCTGCCACTCCTAATAAGCCCCTTTCCATTAGTTCTTACTCAGATCGACTCACCACGGTTCGCCACTGTTTTCAGGGTTTTCCATTAGGTCATAGCACCTGGTACCAAGTACTAAAATAGTACCTGCTCGGCCGGAGTTCCAAGTGATCCAAGCAGGTACTAAAATGTGACATCGTCAGACTGCATGCCACCGATTGCCTGGTCAGTGGCATCACTCGATGAGTCATGAGAGTGTCGACCATACAAATTAGGTGGTATTTGATTGTCGAGTCGAGTTGTGGCGAGTCGATCTTAGTAGGTACTAATGGAAAAGTCCCAATCCTACGTGACTTCCTTCTTTTTTTTTTCTTTTTTTAAATAGAAAAATTGACCTCTAACTTTGACCTTCAGACCAAGGTCAAACTGAGATTCAAACTCCTCTGGGACTTTTAGTAGATTCACCTATGGGATAGTTTTAAAATCCTACGTAGACTAGTTCTTGAGTTATCCCTTTCACAAACTTGGGTGTCCACACCACCCACCCAGCCGTCAGGGTGACGACAATATAACATTGGCTTTTTATGGCTGAGGGGTAAAAAGCTTTTGGTGGATAAATTGAAGAATAATTTAAAGTGCATTAAAGTCACAAAAGAAAGAAAGTCCTGAGAGTGCAGGTGGAGAGTTGAAATTCACTTTAAGCTGGTACCAAGACAAATATGATAAAATTTGCATAAAACTTGCAGCTGGGTTTTGAAAAGCATCAACGAATACTAAACCTGTACTGTACTTACGTACAAAACAATGTAGGTAACTACAGTAAATCAGGATATTTAGAGGGCTTTTATAAATACAAATACAAAAAGTCAGTATCAGTGATCATCGTGGCATTTTTTCCATTTTGAAATGAAAAATCTTTGGTTTTGTTGTATCTATTTTACAAGAAATGTCACCTTAGAGCAGGGGTGTCAAACTCAAATACACAGTGGGCCAAAATTCAAAACTGGAACAAAGTCGCGGGCTAACATTAATATTTATTGAAAAAAAAAATTCTTCCTCCAGATATAAGAATGAATCTTTTCTTATGGACTCAAACA